AGATGCCTGCCCCCACACACAGACATGCCCACAGGTCAGTCTGATCTAGAAAATTCTTCAGTTAAGGCTTTCACATGACTCTAGACAGTGTTGACAACAAAAGCTAACAGGGACAGTTACTGTTACTACTGCTGTGATAAAATACCCTGACAAAGCACCTTAAGGGAGTGTGCTGGATAGCTTTAGTGTCAACTTGACACACCTGGATTGAGGGAGCCTCAATCGGGGAATTGCCTCTATTGGACTGGCCTGTGGCCATGTCTGAAGGGCATCTTCTTGATGAGTGATATGGGAGGGCCCTGCCCACTGTGGGTGGTGCCACCCCTGGGCAGGTGGGCCTGTGTTGGATAAGAAAGCAGGCTGAGCAGGGGCCAGGGGAGCAAGCCAGTAAGCAGAGTTCCTCCATGGCCTGTGCCCCAGCTACTGCCTACAGGTTCCTGCCCTGAGTTCCTACCTTGGGCCCACTGATGAACTGCGACCTGGGAGTTGTAAGCTGAATAAACCCTTTCCTCCCCAAGTTGGTAGTGGTCAGAGTGTTTTGTCACAGCATGAAGAAACAAACCAGGACAGGGAGAAGGGTTTGCTTCAGCTCACAGTTGCAGGGTACAGTCCCTCATGGGTGGGGGTTTGGTGGGTGTCAGAGCAGCAGGCGCTTGAGGCTGCTGGTTTACATTGTATCCCTAGTCAGGAAGCAGAGAGTGATGAATGCATGCTGGTACTCAGCTAACTTTCCCCTTTTTATGCAGTCCAGCACCCAGCTCATGGACTGGTTCCATCTACAGTGGACACGTCTTCCCATCTCAATTAACCTGATCAAGTTAATCCTCTGCAGGCATGCCCAGAGGCCCATTTCCCAAGAGATTCTAGATTCTGTCAAGTTGACAAAACACTATCACAGGGGCTTATTCTTGGGGTGGTGGAAGTCAGAAGTCAACTGTATTAGAGTCATCAGGAAGACATCTCTCAGATCAAAACCTTAGATGGGTAACCTTCTGTCCCACTAAATTTTCTCCTTCCCGCCCTCTGTTTGGCCCACTCTCACTTTTTCAGGGTCTCTTGCTCAAGGTGCTATCGGACAAACCACATAACATTTTAAAATATTTTATTATTTTATTTTATGTGTATGAGTGTATTGCATACATGTATATGAGCGCACCCATGTCGTGCAATGCCACAGAGGTTAGAAGAGGGCATCAGAGTCTCCTGGAACTAGAATTAATGAGGGTTTGTAGCCACCATGTGGGTGCTCGGGATTGATCTGCAAGAGCAGTCAATGCTCTTAACCACTGAGCCATCTCTCCAGCCCCACCACATAACATTTTTATCTGAATTTTTCATTTTATATCTTGGGTACAGAGGGGGAAAATGGAGGAACTTACAAAAGACCGAACACCTGAGACCTGGCACCCAGCTCTGTACTGCTTGGCCACCAGATTGCTACTGTGCCTGTCCACAGTCTCCGTTAACTTTCGCCCATGCATCTTGGGCCCACAGTCTCCCCCAAGGTCAGTAAATGCCCCCTCTTGCGTCCACACAGGTGAGGTGCTGGGGCCATCTTTCTCTCCACGCCCACTGCTGAGCCGTTCACAGCTTCCATCCCAAGATTGTGCCCAGAAGCCCATCCCTCTGTGGCTAACTCTCAGCAGTCAATTCTCTGTAGCAGGCCCCACCCCTTGGAGGAACCAGGCACCTGGGACACAGCTTCAATGTCACACTTCTTTGGAAACATCAAAGGAAAAGAGTGTGAATACCTTGTGCAATGAGAGAAGTTCTCATTAGTCCTTTACCTCCCATCCCTACCCTGATGAATGTGTGAAGTACGGTTTTGAATTCTGTCTTTGGTCTATGCTTGAGTTGATGGCTGGGCCAGAAGGTGTGGTTGGTATCTTTGTTCCAACTCTGGACCTAAGAGCTATTATCCAACCCTGCACCTACCCCATACAGAGAACTGTTTGCTGTCCCTGAAAATTTAGCCACAGATCCCAAGAAGTCTAGGGAGCCTCTCTGACCACTACATCACCTGTCTAGGCCATGGCCTCTGTCTGGGTTGTCATGACACAGTCAACCTTGACCTAGCCATCTCAAGACCAACATAGTATTTTTACTGGAATGAATCAAAGCTTAGGCCATCCCTTAGAAGGGGCCATTTTGGGATCCAGAGGGCTGGACTTGGAGCAAGACTGACTCTGCCCCCATGTTGTATTGGGTCTAGAAATAGTGGTCTGAACTCCATGGCCCCATATCCAGTCACTAAACTCAAACTCAGATGCTCTGAGGGCCCTGGTTCTCATTGGTCTGTGACATGAGGGCCACTCGTTGCTTTCTTGTTGCTGGGTATCTCCAAGGTAGTGTCTAAAGAGATGCCTGTGTCTGATTCTGGAGGCATGATGCTGAGAATGGTGTTCTTCACCACTGCCTCAGACACAACATCAAACACTGCGTCATCAGTCATTATCTTTGATGTGATGTCCTTGCTCTTATTCTTGTAGAAGTTGATGGAATCTCTGTGAATGCTAAGAAAAACCATTAGACACCTGCAACTATGCCAAGTTCCAAGAGAGACGGGGTTCTCTCAGTCCCACAAGTCCCCATCCAAGCTTTACATGAGCCCAGGAGGAACCCTATATTCAGGATCAGGTTGACTCTATCTCCCAATCCTAGCCAGACTCCTCTCTTTCCTGTGACTTTTGTCACTAGTCTTTGTCACTAGTCTTCACCAAGCACCACTTATATGGTGGACCCTTAAAAAACCATTTTTATGTAGGTTTAATCTTAAAACCCTATGGGAGAGGAGGGCTGGACACTACATGGATTTATGTCTCTGTACCTCAGTTTCCTCATCTCCAAGGAAAGTGCCCCAGTCCAGATAGACAGAAAGGGCAGGGAAGAGAGAAAACCCATCAGCAAGGAAAGCCAGGTAGACTAAGGGCTGGCAGAGCCTTGACTGAACCCAGGAAAGAAGATTTGGGAAAACTGATTTGGACACAGAGTGGCCCTCATGTCACAGACCTTCTTGTCATAGGAATGGGGCCTGCCTGCCATACCTTCAGTGCCAAGAGCTTGAGACAAGGGAGTTTAGCACATCTACCTTGAGGAGTAGTCTATGGTGTCACGGAGGGGCTGGTTTTGCATTTCTGGCACCAGGGAAGAGAAGCATAAGGCCAAGATACAAGACACAGCAGAGAAAGATGGGCAGCTGGTTTCTGATCTGGTTGAAGATGGTCAGGGATGAGATGGCTCCAGCTTCCCAGGCCAGAGACACCATTCCCAGACCTGTAGACCTGAAAGTAAAAGTGAGAGCTGATCTGAAAGACTTCTTAGACTCAGAGACTAGGTATAGTCAAGGAGAAGGCTACCTGAAACCATACGCTCTGCTTTGTGCCCTGTTCCAGCCCATTGTGTGACCTAGAAAAGCTCAGTTCTTCATAAACTCAGATAGGTAGCAGACAGCAGGAATGGGAGAGTTATAAAGCATGCAGCATCATGTGGTCATATAGGGAAAGGGTGCAGTCAGCAATGCTGGGTGTCAGATACAGCTACCATCACCAGGACTTCTGTGGGGAAGGGCTCACAGAACCTCATGGTGGTCCAGACACATTCTAAGCAGTTGGTACAAGGCAGGGACTAGAGTCAGATTTCCTATGATAATAACTGTTGTCAACTTGACAGAATCTAGAATCACCTGGGAATGAGTCTAGTTAATTGATGTGGGAAGACTCACCCACTGTGGGTGACACTATTCCATGGATGGGATCCTAAGCAGCAACATGCATTCATCTCCTTGGCCCCATACCCAGCCATTAAACTCCACCCCAAGATGCTCTGGGGGACCTGGTTCTCATGGAGCCAGACTTGGTGTTTCCTTGTTGCTGGATTTCTCCAAGGCAGTGTCTAAGGAGATGTCTGTGTCTGGACTTGTCTGTCTCCTGCTTGATGGACTGTACCCTTGAACTGTGAACCAAATAAACCCTTCCTCCCTTAAGTTGCTTTTGCCGAAGTATTTTATTACAGTAGCAGGGAAAGAATAAGACACCACTTTAGTCCAAATCTCAGTTCTGCTGCTTGCTACATCTGACCTTGAACAAGCGCCTTTCATCTCTGGTTTTGTCATCTGAAATGGAGTTAATGATGGAGTTGGGGGGGCGTGAGAGTTGGGTGAGGTAATCCATGGAAACCACGTTTAACACAGTGATTATTGTCACGCCATCTCCAATGAAGCCCGCATGAGATCCTCCGTGGGTTGAGGCTGGAACTTCGAGGAAGGTTGCCTCTTGGAGTTGGCCGTGCTAAAAAACATGCAGTGTACTTGGCATGCTTTTACTTGCTATTATCTTTCTGACTATCACTGTATCATGGGCTTTCAGGGGTCCCGGAAAGCACCTGGTGTCCTTGACACCGCTGTCACTACCTTTACTGAAATCTTTTAATTATCCTAGTATGCAGGAAGAGTTCTCAGGAACTCAATCACCAAAGACAACTTTGCCTCCAGATGCATCACTATTAATGAAAGCTATTTTAGATGCAGCAAAAAGTAGTCAAGCAGAATTAATGCTGGAAAGTCCAGGGAATAACGGATTTCTAGAAGAGAGACATAGATGAGTAAGTATAGATAGAAGAAGGGTTTCTTGGTATTCATTACAATTCATGGATAAATTGGCAAGATCAAGACCA